CCTTTTACTGGCTCCATCCCCGCCTCTTTGACCGGTCTGTCTCCTCTCCACCTATCTTCTCCTCTATCCATCTTCTATCCGCCTCTCCCTCTCTCCCTATTTATTTCAGAACCCCCTTCCCCTCCCCCAGTTCTGAAGAAGGGTCCAGGCCCAAAACTTCAGCCTTCCCGCTCCTCTGATGCTGCTTGGCCTGCTGTGTTCATCCAGCTCTACACCTTGGTATCTCAGATTCTCCAGCATCTGCAGTTCCTACTATCTCTAATTCAGTACCATCATTCCCCGTAAATAAATTACAGATTGTCATGGTGGGGATTTGAACTCATGATTTATGTTGTTATTTGTCCTTTTGAAATATAGGTAGTAATAATGCAGTGCCATTTGGAGGCAGCTAAAAAAGCCACCAAGCACTTTCAGTGTGAGGAAAAGAGGCATGTTCACAAAATGCAGGATTGTGGCAGACGACCTTTGAATGTTTAGATAGGGCCTGTTCCTGTGTTATATTGTACTTTGTTTGAAATCTTTGATTCAATGCCTTTTCAACTGAACTAGTTAGGCTCAGATATTCCTTGGCAAATATTTGCTAATTACCCTGTTCACAGATGTTATGACGTACCTCCGAAGCAGGTGATACTGAACCCAGGTCTCCTGACTCAGAAATAGGGACACTATCACTGCATCAAATGAGCTCTTAATCTTCCTTTTCCACTCTTTCAAAAAAAAATATCAATTGGGCTCGAGAGCCCCTGTTTGGGGGACTGTAACAAAAGACAAATCAAATGGTCAACAGAAGCTTTGAGAACTGGAATGGAAATTTATCAAAAACAAAGGTATCATACCCTATGGTGCCCACTGATGTCTAAAGGCCTCCTATTGTGCTGGTAGACACTATTGCTCCCTCTCAGTGGACAACTGAACAGAGATATAACCACGAAAGGGGAAGATAGTCAGGTATTATAACTCCCTGCATGGCCCATTACCCAGACCTGTTAATATCCAGTTTGTCTTAGCCCAACAGCAGGCCAATGAGGCAGCCCTCAATCCAAAAGAACTTAACTTGGTTAAACAGCCCCTGTTGGGCTCACTAATCAAAACAATACTCACTGGTCAATGGAAATTTATAAAACTGAAAC